TGAAATTTCTATACCAGTGTTTTTTTTACATACCATCTTAATTATTGTTTGACGACTTTAGGCTGACACGGTCTAGTTTAAAGTTACAGTGTAATGTGAGTCACCCTGCAGGAGCAAATACAGCAGCTGCTTAAGTTTTATTTTTCAAGCAGTGATACAAGATTTTTATGAAGCAATCTCAAGTTTTGTCACTGCAGATTCTGTTTTTTGAAAATACCCATATAAAACTGGTGTTAATGTGGATTTTGTTCTGTATAAACAGTGCCAAAAATGAAGAAATAAAACACTTTACTGAATACATTGCCCATATAATTCTACTTTATTTCCACAATGAATGTTGAAAATGAATATTGCTTGCACACTTGTACACAAGTTACATTATTTAATGCAAGTGTTTATGAAACAATGTAGTGGATATATCAAATTGTATTGTGGCTGGCTTTGTAATTACAGTATTTCTACACTCAGTAGACACATGACAAGAAAGTTTAATGTGTATTTTGTTGATTTGTCTGCCACTTTTATTATTAAAAATGCAGGTTTTTTTTTAACAAACTACATATAAACACATTTCAATTGCAAAGCTGTTACTGCTGAGGCACACTATTTACATTTTCTCTGTCATAGTATGTTGATATTGCCATAATACTCTGTTACAGTGGTCTGCTTCAATAAGCAATAATACCTAATGAAAATAGCAAATAATTGTTTCAATACATCACACAAAATATAAAACTACAGTCTGTTTTATTCTATATTCTATTTATATATATAATATTATATATTCTATATATAAATATTAACAATGAACAGTTGGTTGTATTTTGTCTTCAGGATGAAAATCTATTTTTGTGCTCTTTATTTTCAGTCTGTTGGAGTCAAAGTGTCAAATCAACAACAATATGTATTAATCCACTGCAGAGGTGGGCCGTCGGGTCTTGAGGTGTAGCACGTGTAGGGCGAGAGGCAGCGGACACTGGGAAACCCGCAGGGATGGGCACCAGCGCACGCAGACAGACAGCGTGCTGTGGCAGGAAAGGTAACCAGGAAATAAGCACAG